AGCAGCTCCTCCTCGGTGAAGCCGCGCGCACGCAGCGCCGCCGTGGCGCTGTCGGAGGGGCGGAGGGGCGCATACCCGAGGCGGAAGAGGGAGCACGTCTTGGCTCGGATCCCTCTCCGCCGCAGCATCGCGGCGCACTGCGCGGCGGACCGATCCCGCAGCGACACCTCGTACACCTCGGCTGCCGCGTCCAGCGCCTCGAGCAGCCGCTCCGCACCCGCGCCGCCAGCCTCACCGGCCGGCGCAGGCGCGCTCGCTGCGCCGGCCGCGCCGCCGCCTCTCCCGGCGACGGCGCCCGCCTCGCTCGGCCGGCGCCAGGCCGGCGCGGGCCCGGTGCCGGCCGGCGCTGGCGAGCGCTCGACGCCGTACTGCGCCGCGACCGCGGCGAGCGCCTCGCGGAACTCCATCCCTTCGGAGAGCATGAGGAAGCGAAAGACGTCTCCGCCCTCCTGGCAGCTGAAGCACTTCCAGTAGCCGGTCCGGTCGTCGATGCTCAGCGACGGCGTGCGCTCTTCGCCTCCCTTGTGGAACGGGCACCGCGCCTTGAAGGTCGGGCCGCTGGGGATGAGCTCGAGGCCCGTCGAGGCAATCACCTCGGAGAGCACCGCCGCCTCCTTGACCCGAGCAATGTAGTCGTCGGGCCGGCGGCGGAGCGGACCGCCTCCGCCGCCGCCGCCGCCACTGCTCTGGGAGCGATCGTAGGCGCCAGAGCCGCCGCCGTAGGCGCCCGCAGAGCGGACCTGGAGGAGCGGTGATGCAGCACAGCGACCCAGGCCCGCTCCGCGACGGCCCAGGCTGGAGGCGAGGCGCACGCGAGGACCCGACGACGCGCGTGAGCAGGCAGCGAGCATGATTAGCAGACCGCTCACGCTACGCATCCCCGCCTGACACGCCAAGCGCGAAAGAGAAAAAGTATTTTCCCGCAAAACTCCCTCGCACAACACTGGGCACGAAAGGCGAAAGAAACCGCGAGAACAAGGGACCGGCAGGCGGCAGCGTCACAGGACGAGGCAGAAGAGAACGACGCGACAGAGGAGGAAATGACAAGGGAGAGAACGACGAGAGTGGGACGACCGCGAGGTGGCATGAAGGTTGCAGCGAGAAGCGGCGAGAGACTGCGAAGAGAGATAGGAAGAGGCAGACTCCCTAGGGTGGGCGACGGCTAGCGCACCACACACCTCTCCTTAAAATCCCTGTGTGGTGGCGGCGTGCCGTCCTCCCATCCCTCCCTTGGGTTGTCTGTTTTCTTTCTTTCTTTCTTTTACACTGGGCACGAGAAAAGTATGCGATCTCCAAGTGCTCCAAGTCAAATTCAGAAAACCCCAGCGCTTCCGGCTGTCCGACGGCGTGGCCTACGCCTTCCTCGAGAACAGCCGCCTCTACCGCACCGACCGCCGCCTCTCCGTCGCCGACGGGACGCAGGGCTCCGACTGTTCCGAGTGTGGGCGAGACATGTCCAGGACATGTCCCTGACAGGTCCACGACACGTCCCACACAGGCACCGACTCGAGTGGTGGCCGTGGGGTGGTTTTTCTTTGCCTCAGAGGCCGTCCCTAGCTGTGAACAGCAAAACGGGGCGGTATGAATCGGGCGGCAGCGGGACGAGCGCAGCAGAGGCTGCCGAGGCCGAGCCGACGAGGGCACCGAGGCAGAGGATCGACACGATTAGCGACCACGACCACGACCACGCATGAGGAGTTTGAAAAGAATTCTTTTTTTACAGAACACTTACACAGGGCGCCGGACTCGGGCCTCGGGGGAAAAGAATTCTACAATTAGCTGGCAAGGACTTGTGCTGCACACACACCACCGCTGTCGCCATCGCTAGCACATGCTGGCTCCCTGCCCGAACGTCGATGTGGTTGCGAACAAGCACGCGACGAACCCTCGCACCGCCGAGCAGCCCTTCATAGCAGGGATCGGACCATTGATGAGCCAACGCCGCATCGCCGGGGGCTTAATAGAAAAAGAATTTCGCGAACCTTGCGCGAGAAAAAGAAAAAGAAAAGGTGAGCGCGCTCTCGTCTCCCTGCGCGTCGGCGGTGTCACGCTCGCCACCATCCTGCACCAGCCCGAGTCGAGAGCGTTTGTTCACAGCCTTGTTATTGAGAAGAAAATACGCCTTGGCGCTGTGCTTGTTATTGAAAAGAATTTGCTCCCTATACGCGGCCTCGCGCTGGACCTTCTCGCGGGCGTCTTTGCGGGTGCGCTGGCCTGAGGACGCCAGGGCCCCAGGCGCGAAGCTTAGGGTACCCCTAGGGCTAGGCTTAAAAGGGTGGGCCCTGGGGCGCCTGCGGGTTAAACGGCTTAAACCGGGCCCGGGCCGGTTTTAAGGGCTGCCTGGGCCGCCGATTCCTTAAACGGTCTTAAACGCTTAAACGGTGCGGGAGAGCTCCCGAGGTCGATGGTCCGGGAGGCTCCCGGTAGACGCCGGAGGCCGGGAAGCTGGCTACAGTCAGCTGGCACGCGTCCCCTATGCGAGTTAATGGCTCCTGCCAGTGCACCAGACTTACAGATGTGTCTTCAGAGGCGGGTTTGTGCGCCTAATAACGGCAGTATTGGAGAAAACGGCGCGGAACCCAGCGACGCGTGCCGGTGAGGCCGATTTTCTTAAACGGTCTTTTCTCGTGTATTCGGTTTTGCCTCCTGACTCTTAGCACTCACGGCACTCTTAGCCGTGCGGGCCGCGGACCTCTCCTGCAAGAACGCAGCGGTCTTGGAGCTTCCCCCTCCCGTTCTTGCCGCATCCCATCCGTGGCGACGCGCTGTGGCATCGAGCCGTACTCGGCCGCGCCGCCGCGTCGAGGCGTGCTGGACCGAGACTAAGCAGCGACGCCGAAGCGTTTCAGACGCTGTGCTGCCTCATGACGGCCACCAAGTTGCACAGCGCGATCCGCAACCCCGATCCGCGGGTGCTGCTCGACAGGCTTTCAGAGCCTCCCACTGCCCCGGCGCCCACACCTCTTCATCTCCATGGGCCATGGCGCCAGCCGCCACGCGCCAGGCCGAACAGCGCCGTCGGCGGTAATGGCGAGGTTGTGGCCTGCACTCGTTGCGGTGTGCTGTGTTGAGTGTTCTTGGAGTGTCCCTCTACCTACCTTAACCCTCGAAACTCCATACACACCCATCACCGAGCACACCACCGGCCCACTCGCATGCTCCGTGTCCTCTGTCGAAAAGCCCCCCCCTGTGCCCCGCGAGGCTCCACACGTCGCAAAAAGCGCCTCGCGCTCGGGGGAGCCCGTGTCCACGCGTGTCCGTCGCCTCGAGCCCTTCGACTCGCTTTCGTGCGCGATCGCGCGACTCTCAACGGCGGGGGCCGACTCAGAGCATCGCCGTGTATAGCTCCTCAAAGGTGAAGCCGGAGGTGGGGCTCGTCGGGTGGGCGGCAGCGGAGTCCTCGCCGCCCTCGCTCGCGCGGCATGCCTGCTCCGGCTCCGCATCTGCCGCGGGCGCGGCGCGTCGGTCGGCCGGGGCGCCCGTAAAGAAGTCTGGCAGGTCTGCGTCGGGCTCCGTCTCCTCCATGCGAATCGGCGACGTCGCCTGGTCTCGTGAAGGGCCGGCCTCTGGGGGCACCGACATCGGACTCGCACCCACTTGAGGAATCGTCAGCGGGCTCGGCTCCACGCCGGCGAGTAGAGCGGCCGCCCGCATCACGTTTGGGCTAAACGCGTGGCAGGGGTGACAAGGCGTGAGGTGCGCTAGGGCCGGGGGGCGCCACGCGTCGGGGGCGCTGCCGCACCTGTCCGAGAGGGGAAGCTCGCGCCCGCCGATGGCGCGGCGCGCAGTCTTGGCTGGCGGCAGCGAGCGCATGATCGGCTCTTCTTGGACGAGACGAGTGAGGAGGAGCAGGTCTTCCGCCTACAGCTCGACGGGCGCTGGCTAATCCATCTCCGCGCGGCGCACGCGAAGGTTTGCACACCGCGCCTCATCGTGCGCCGCTCCAAACCTCCCGGTCGGGCGATTGGGCAGAGGGACGGAGGTCGCCTATAAAGGGAGGTGCTTGGAAGCTGGTGCTCGCTGCGTGGAGTCTGCGGGCGCCTCGACACGATGCGTGGCCAGTGATTGCAGCGGGGAGAAGCCATCGTCATCGTGGAACGGATCCCCGCTCTGGACTTGGAAGAGGAACTGGTCGAGGGCAGTCGTGCCGAAGCTTCCGGCAGCGCTCAATCCGGCGAGACCGCCAAAGCTCGCTGGGCTTTCAAAGCTCGCGCCGGCAATGCCGTAGTCGATCGCTGAGCCACCCGCTCCGCCACCGAAGCTCGCTCCAGTACCGCCAAAGCTGGCCCCACTGCCAAAGTGCGCCGCCAGATCCGCGTCCTCACAGGAGGCAGCAACTGTCAATGCAGGCGAAGTCGACGGGCCAAGCTGGTGCAGACTCGCGAAGCTCGGGACGGTTGGGGCACCAGGCTCCGCCTGCTGGCCCGCCACGAGAGGGATGGCGTGCACGACCTGTGGGGCCGGCCGTGCCTCGCCCTGATCGCTGTAGCTGAGCACGAGCTGCGGCGCCTGCGGTCCGGTGGTTCGCATGCCGGAGCCGATGCTGCGCCACGGCGAAGGGGTGGACGGCACCCACGGGTCCGTGACGATGCCGATGGCGTCCGGCGGACAGGAGAGGCAGTGCCACGCGTCGTCCCCGAGGTAGTGGAGCAGCAGCCGCTCCGAGCAAGCGCCGTCGAAGGGCGGGTCGCTGGCCGTCCAGAGATCGCTCAGCTGCAGCCACATCTCGTGCCGCACCAGGAGCTCCTGAGGCTGCGCCGCCGCCATCCGTTGGCGTGCGTTCCGGTTCTTGGCGGCCGCCTGCGCCTTGTACGCCTCCTTCTCGGCGCTCGGCATCGCCCGCCACATGCGGCCGACGATGGTCTTGTGGTCGAGCGCGGACGCCTGCGGATACTGCTGCTTCACCTCGTCGTTGACAGACCTCTGAAATTCGACAAAGGGGCGGATCTGCGGGCGCGCCGCCTCGGACTTGGTGCGCCGCGCACAGTAGTTGCGCACGAGCTCCGTCACGCCGTCGTGCAGCACCCGGCTCGAGGCGTTGGCGGCAGAGGACGGCACCCAGTCGAGGCCGTCGAGAAGGCGAGGCCGGCGCGCCTCGTGTCGTCGGCTCTCGAGGAACAGGTAGCCGAACTGCGGATCGCGCACCGCACCCGGCTGCAGGACGCGGAAGCCGCACTGCTCGGGGTTGCGCAGCAGGTTGGCGTCTGCGGCCGGCGGGGCTTGCGTAAAAGCGCCAGCGGCGTCGCGGGTCAGATGGGAGAGGGCGCGCGCGCACATGCTTCGTCGGAGAGCTGGTAGGGGATGACAGTGTAGGCTTTGGCAGCATCCATTTTTGGATATTGTGCCTTGTTTGCGAGTGATCTCTCTTTTGTGCAGCTTTCTTCCTCGAGTCGCCGTTCTCAAGCGGCGGCGGCGGTACGTCTTCGGTCCCCGCGGGAAGCCCCGCGCATAGGACAAAACAACGTCTGTCCCACACACGCACAGACGCGCACATACATCATGCTCGGGCACCCCCCACAGTGTTAGTCGTGGGTGTGAGCACACAAGTACTACTCGACGGTAGCAGAGTGCACACCTGCCCTCTCTCTCTCACCTGCCTTGGCGGGTGAGGGTCGTAAGAATCAAAGCCTCTTGGTGCCAAACGTGCTCAAGCGCGCCGAAGAGAGACGATCTACGCTGAGGGAGTTAGCGAAAGTCGCACGGGCAGAGGGGAGACCGAGGCCTCCGGCAGTCCGCACCGGCCACCGCCTCGCGAAAGGGAAGCAACGATCAACTCCAGCTTGGACTTGGGAGAGAGAGAGATGTTTTTGACTTGGGTGCCCACAGCGTGTTGTTCCCTGTTGCGTGCCAGCAGCAGCACTGTGCCCAGTCAGTATTGTGCGATGGAGTTTTGTTGTTCTTGTAATATTCTACATGTTGTACGGAGGGGAGAGGCTTCGCCGGCCCATATTGCATATAAAGCCGTACGGCCGTACGAAGTGGATTTCGAGAGGAGACCCACCCGCCGCGGCGCGCTCCTCCCGCAGCCGACAGCTCTCTGTCTCACGTCTCTCTCCGTCGCGAGAGAGCAAGAGAAGAAAGCGCTGCCGAGTGGGCCGTGCCCCGCCGCAGTGGCACGCCGCGCCACCGCCAGCTCCAGCCCGCCAGGGAGGCTGCCGCAGAGCGGCAGAGGGGCGCGCGATAGAACGAGAGAGGGGGAGAGCGCAGAGGCCAGAGCGGTGGGCGCGTGGCGGCGCGCGCCGGAACTCGCGAGGCAGACTCGAGGCTACGCCGACGGATCCCGCAGCCGCCAGCCGCGGAGAGCTGATTGGGCGGCTTCTTCTTTTACTTCGGCGGGGGGCACTCAGAGTATAGGGGCTTGGGCCTGTACAACTCGAAGAGTCAGAGTGTCGGCGCGATCGGGGCAGGTCCGCACCCACTCAAAGAGCGCCCAATCCGTCACACAACTGTGTCGAATCGCGGAGAGAGCGCGCGCCCCACACAACGACGCGTGGGCTTCCCCCGCCCAGCGGGGTGCGCGCCGTGTTCTCGCCGCCTCCCAGCTCTAGCTGACCTCGTCCGCCTCAAACTCCTCCTCCTCCTCCGTGTCCTCCTGCAGCTCGTCATCCATCTCCTCCTCCTCGTCCTGCGCGCGGGCGGGCGGGCGTGGGCGGTCGGAGGCCTGTGTGTCGGGCGGCGCCGGGGCTGGCGAGCCCCCACCTCGTCGGGCACTTCGGCGTCCACGGCAGGGTCGTCGTCGGCCGGCGCGATGTTGCTGGCGCGCCCCTCGCGGCCCAGCACGGGAAGGTCGGCGTTAAAGGATTTGATCGCATTGAGCTGCGCGCGCGATGTGCGGGACGGGAGGAGTGAGCGCGTGCCGCGGACGAGGCGGGGGTCGAGCGGTCTGTGCAGCGGTGAGAGGCCTGCGCGTCGAGCGCCGCCTCCCAAAGCGCGATCTGCGCCTCCGCGGCGGAGAGGTTGCGCCAGCTGGCCTCCGCGCCGCAAGGGTGCAGCCGCGGCTGTGCGGAGAGGCTAGACAGCATGCACGAGGACGTGCGGCAGCAGCTGCGTACGCGGAGTTCACCCCGCGCGCGCGCTGCGCGGTTTGTAAAGGCCGAGGAAGAAATCTCGGCGGCGAGGAAAAGAATGTATAATATTAGCGCGCTGTTTCTAACACAGGCACGAGATGACTGCTCTATTTATTTATTTATTAACACAGGTACACCACGGGAGCCGCCTAACCGACTCCTGCGAGGACGGCGAGGCACTTAGCTCCGTGCACTCGACCGCCCTCGCCGTGCAGGCAAGCTCATTCACAATCTGCTCTGCGATGGCCGTGTGAAGAACGACTGAGATACGCTGCTTCTGCAGCCCCAGCCAGCTCTTGGTGGTCCATGTCACCTCATCGAGGTACTGGGCCCGCGTCAGCTTGTTCTGCAGCACGTTCGCCGCCTTCCAGCGGGATCTCGCCGACCCCCTTCCCGAACCCACCGAACGACTCGAACAACAGCAGCTGCACGTCGACGTCCTTGTCCTCCCTGGCGTAGCGATACTCGCCGCCATAGGACGGTATGCGGCGATCGCCGCCCACCACCCTGCCCCCCCTGGTATGCCAGCGCCCGGTCCCTTGCCCTCTCTCGCCCTTGCTCTTCCTCTCCCCCTCCATGCCCTCGCCCCCGTACGCCGTACCCCTCACACTCCCCTCCCCCCCCCTCCCCCTCCCCCTCGCCTCCCTCTCTCCCCTCGCAGTAGGGCCCATGCCCCACGACCATGTTCAGGTAGAACGCCTCGGTGTTGCCGAAAGCGACAAAAGCGCCCTTCCGACCGTGCTCCCCGCTGCTGGTGAGGGGGCAGACGACCTTGACATCGCCGGAATAGCGCTTGCCGCCCGTGCCAATGTTGCACGCGTCCACGTCGGGTTGCTTGTTGTAACTATGACCGAGGTGGTTCGTCGGCTCCATTCGCACAGCTGTGCCCCACGCGGCGCGGGCGAGGATGAGGCGCTGAAGAGTGCACTTGTGTTTGATGTTGTGGCCCTGCTGCGGAACGTTGACAGCAGCGTCGCCGAACTCGTCGTGGTACTTCTTGTTTCGAGTCTTCTTGCCCACCGACACGGCCTGGCAAGCCACGTCGAGGGGGAGACCCAGGCGGCGCTGCACCGAGATCCGCATCGCCCAGGTCTCCATTCGCATGTCATCCCGCATGGGGATGGCGTTGAGGAAGGCGCCGGCGCCATCCTGGCTCACCGCCACGAAGCGGACCGCCTCCCGCCAGGCCGCGTGCCTCGCCCGCTCCCTGCCCTCGGCACGCGCCTTGCCCCTCTTGCCACGAGGAGCAGACCGCGATCCCGCGGAGCCCTCCTCGGCGAGCTCCAGCAGCGGCATCACCATCGAGACTGTCCTCTTGGGGGAGGAGGAGTTTGCGCCCGTCGCCCTGCAGGGACGGCGGATGGGCTTCACGCCCGCGAGAGAGTTCGACGAGTTCATGGTCGATACGTTCCTCCTCGCTCAGAGTGACGGCCTTGTCGGCCACTTCGCAAACAATATGGATCGGATTGCGTACGCCCTCATGAGCGCATACGCGACACCAGGTGGCACGTGCTTGAAGCCTTATGTATCTGTCGGCGGTGCCAATTGGTGCTTCGATTGCCAGGTCGTTGAGCATGGCGGCAGCAGTGGCAAGACAGCCGGCCCCTCGCTGCCGCGCGAAGTGCGTCGCGGCGGTGCACCGGTACTGCGATGTGGGTCGTACTCCGGGCGCGCGCGGCGGTTGTGTCACCAGGTCACCAGACACCACGGGCCGGTCCGTCCCACGGCGGGGCGGGGCAACTCGCTCGCAACTCCACACCAGACAGGCAGGAGCCCCACGGGCCACGGGCACGGCATTCAAAGGGAATGAAAGTGCTCATTTTTGTCAATCCACACGTGCACGTGCGTGGCTGAGCGCGCAACCCTGCCTTCTAACAAGGACGTGCCATTCGCCCCGCTCACTTCTCTTTACTAGGCCGGTCGCTGCGGATTTTATTAAACTTTCAAGTTTAAGCGCAGACCTCGAGACTTGAACGCAAGCATGTTCAGGCCATCTAGAGTGCCGAACAACATCGCACCGGTTCGATCCGCGCATCACGGCCGCGCAAATTGGCTGCACTGCGGCGCGAGGCTCATCTCAGCGGGGCGTCCGGACCACTGACTCGGGCGATGTGGTGGTCGAGCGCAGCCTTCTTGAGCTGGAGAGCCGCCGCAGTATGCGCGGTGAATGGGACGTCGGCCAAACTGCGACGCGCAAGCTGCAGGGAGGAGCTACAGCGGCTCCGCTCCTCTCATGCTGGTTCGCCAAACCAAGGCGTTGAGGTCCTCGTACACTCATGTCGCGCCTCGAGTAGGAGCCATCACGCTGCCCAGCGCTGGACGGCCGAAGTTCAGAGTCGCGGTGCTCGTCGAATACCGCTAATCAACGCCGCAGACACGCTTTGCATCTCTCACACAATCTCCAATGCTGGCGATCGCATCGTCTTGCCAACGCTTTTCGAGTTTACGACGCCATGGCTTGAGCTCCAGTTGAGCTCGTAGGTGGACGTGACCCGCATCAGGGTGCCAAGGCTCTCTGGAAAAGCATGGTGGCGCCACAGCTGGTGCCTGGCTAGAGCAAGGTCCGTTGGTGGTCTAAAGCCGAGATTTGGTTTGTGATGGCAGAGAACTTGGATAAGCTTCAGCCGTTCGTGCGCCTCCTTCTGGATCGCGGAATTGGCGACGCGACCACGACAAAATGGCCAATTTGCTGCGTGATCACTCTGCTACGCTGAAGCCTGAGCTTGCAGCGATGCTCGATGTGCGTGTGCTGGTGCGTACAACGTACCTTCTCTTGAACAAGTTATTTAGGGACACCCCGGTTTCGGACATCGGCGAACGATTCGACGGTGCCTCCAACTGAGCCAAATGGAGCCCTGTGATGTGGGACCTCACTCCCAGAAGCTTGGAGCTTCAGGCCGCGACCACGTGGCTAGGTGGACACTAAAGTGCCATTTTGGCGCCAAATCTTGGCGGGAAATGACACGTGGCTTGGCGGGAGTGTGGTGTGGCTGCGCCGCTCGCCAGCGCTGCTGTTGAGCGCCAGCTGCTGCTCCCTTCAGCCAGACGGCCGGGCCTGCGCAGCACGACCGCTGGCCTTCCTCCTGCACCACAGGAGCGCGCCAAGGCGCGCGTCTGGGCAAGCAGTGCGTCTCATCGCGATGCGAGAGTCGACGCTGTGACGCCGCCGCTCGCCGACTAGAATGACAGTGGCAGCATTCGAGTACGCGTCGAGCTGTGCGTACCAGCACTCGTATGCGAGCTAATTGTGTCCCTGAGCTGCTGTGGGGTGCGTGGGCTCAGCTGCGGAGCACGTACTGGGCGGCGGTAGGGGGGTGTCCCTAAATAACTTGTTCAAGAGAAGGTACGCCCTTGAGGGTGATCGGTTGGAGATTCTCTTGGTTCCTCGGCGCGTTGAGGAGCTGCGTGCTCTGGGCCGCGCACTCGCCGCCAACCAAGACGGCGTGCTGCCGAATGTGGACGCTGTACTGCGTGCCGAACTCTGATGATGCCATCTCGGGGTGGGTACAGGCAGCACAGATTGTCTTTGCCATCTCTCCCAACTCGGCATCGTGTGAGCGCGTCTTTGCGCTCCTTAAGACGATGTTCGGGGATCTGCAGGTGAGTACGCTCGCAGATTACATTCAGGCAGCACTCATGTTGCGCTACAACGACCGCAAGATCGGCTGAGCGGAGTGAGCTCGAGGGGACCGAATCGGATATAGTTTTGTGTGATGAGTAAGTGTGACCCACATGATGTATGTCGAGGCTGCATGTGGTGAAGAGTGTTGCGCCGTGAGAGACTTTCACAGCAGCGATAACACGATTGACGTTCTCATAATTGAACAATGTACGTAAGAGCTACATACACTAAAAAAACAAGATATCTCACAATTGATTACGTAATTGATCGAGCGTGACTCCCTTAGAGGTGCGGCCCCTGCGCGTGTCCTCGCCCTTGTGGTCTTGAAGGGGAAGGGGAAGGGGCTGTGTGTCTGTCTGTGTGTGTGTGTGTGTGTGTGTGTGTGTGTGTGTGTGTGTGTGTGTGTGTGTGTGTGTGTGTGTGTGTGTGTGTGTGTGTGTGTCTGCGGGCGCTGTGCGAGCCGCCCTGAACGACCACAATGTTGAGCGCGCTCGAGCACCGAAGCACCGCGAGCGCCGGCGAGCACCACCGCCCCGCGCCTTGGCGTGGGTCGGTAGTACACGATGCGGCGCCAATTTCAGAAAGAAAGAAAGAAAACGGACAGCCCAAGGGAGGGATGGGAGGACGGCACGCCGCCACCACACAAGGGATTTTAAGGAGAGAGGTGTGGTGCGCTAGCCGTCGCCCACCCTTGGGCGTCCGCCTCTTCCTATCTCTCTTCGCAGCCTCTCGCCGATTCCTCGCTGCGACCTTCATGCCACCTCGCGGTCGCCCCCTTCTCGTCGTTCTTTACCTTCTCTCTTCTTCTTCTGTCGCGTCGCTCTCCTCTGCTTCGTTCTGCGGCGCCGCCGCCTCCTGCCGGTCCCTTGCTCTCGCGGCTTCTTGCGCCTTTCGGCGCAGCTCCGCCCTCCTCGCTGCATATCCTGGCCCCTCGAGTCTATCGAGCTCTCCTCGAGCAAGCGCCAATTTCAGTTGCGGGGGCCATCGTAAAATTCTTTTCAGAGAAGCCCAACAACCGCTCGCGGTGGCCGCTTCGATGCCGGCCGCCAGGACGAGCGCAGGCCGGCCGGGCCGGCCGATCCAGGCGGAGAACGGCGTTTTGCGCTCAATCACGCTCACGAATTTCAAAGCCCATTCGCACTTCCACCTCGACTTCAATCCGCACGTCAACTTCATCGTCGGAAGCAATGGCACCGGCAAGAGCGCCATCCTCGCGGGCGTGATCCAGGCGCTGGGAGGGAACCCAAACAAGCACTCTGGCACGGCGGGCGGCGCCCGGGCGGCGCAGGGCCTGATTCAGGACGGCAAGGACTACGCGAGCGTCGTGCTCGTGCTGTACAACGGTTCGGACGACCCGTGGGAGACGCAGCGCGCGTCGACCCAGACCCAGGCGCGCCTCGAGGAGGAGCGCAACGTGACGGTGACGAGCGAGCTCACCCGCCTTGCCGGCAACAAGACCAGCTCGCGCTACAAGATCAACGGCGTGGCCGCCACCCGCAAGCAGGTGTGCACCCCCGCCCCTTTGCCCGCCGCCGCCCTCGCCGCCAGCCCTCTCCGCGCCCGGGACAGGTCGCGGCGCTCGCCGAGCACTTCAACCTGCAAGTCGAGAACCCGTGCGCCGTCCTGACCCAAGCCGTCCACGCAAACTTCCTGCGCGAGACGTCGGGCGGGAAGCGGCGGTACGACTTCTTCCTGGCGGCGTGCAACGCGGACATAGTGCGCGAGCGGCTGCTCGCGGCGAGGGACGAGTACAAGGGCATCGCCACCTCGCTCGAGAAGCACGAGGAGCGTGGCGCGCCGCTCGCCGACCGGGTCGCCTCGACCTCAAAGCTCGTGGCAGAGGCGCGGCGCCGCCCTCCCAGCCCCTCCCCATCCCCGTTGCTCCGACCTTCCTGCTCCGACCTTCCTCCTTCGGTCCTTCCTCGTCCGCGGCGGAGCCCTCGCGCCGCCTCCGCCGCACCCCTCCACCCTCCACCCTCCACCCAGTGATCCACCACCCCACCCCCACCCCACCCCCACCCCGCGGGCCAGGCCAGCCGGCGAGACGCGCTCGAGCGCGACGGAGCGCG